CCTTACTCATACACATTTACAACTGTTCAGGTTAAGAGACACAATTTTTTACATAATTTTTTAGATATTCGGTGAACATAATAGTACGCAATACATTTAATTTGTCGAAATATAATATATCATGGTTTACGTAATATATAGTGTCTTTTAATGCATTTTATGAGGCTATTAGCGGGCCTCTATACACTTTAATACCCGTCAACAATTACAAAAGTTAGAAATTCAAACATTTCTTATAAATTTTTAATTCATCTAAAGCATATTCAAGTATATCTCTCCGTCCAGTTATTCGGTTAGTCGATTATTTTTATGCCGATCACCGAAGCATGAGGGACATATTCCTTAACCGTAACCTTAACAAAAATGATTTCAATAAAATGTTTAAAGAAGAATTGTATGATAAGAACAACGTGAGCATGGATTATCTAATCGCAATATGCTTTTCTATACCCTTCACCGAAGCATGAGGAATATATTCATTTTGCCGAAACATTTCCAACGACCAAAAGGAAATAGCAGAGACTCCACAAACTGTATATATATATATATATTCTTGATTAGCACCGAATTCCAAATCGATTTAAGTATGTCCACCTGTCTGTCCAATGTCTGTTGTAAACATTCTCCTGATCGCAAAGATAAACCTTCGACTTTAAATTTGGCAGAAACATTGGAAACTCATGCACGCAGGTTGGAATTGAAAATGGGTCAAATCGGTCGAAGGAAGCGCCCTCAGCACTATGTAAACTGATAACGCTTCAGCTTTTCAAAAAAAAAAAAAAAAAAAAATTGATTTCTTACTCATTACTCATAAGTGACAGCAGCTAGATGCAGAAAAATTTGAATATATATTTGATGGGCGATACTGTAGCACTGGTACAATAATAGAAAATATTCACCATTATAGGGTATCAAAATTAAATTTTTTTTTTTTCAATAGTTTGGTAAGGCGCAGACACAGGCTTCAAAAACCCCATAAAATAAGTTTCAAATTTGAAAAGCACCTAACCATGTCCGTCTGTACGTCTGCCCAGCCATGTCCTAGATATTGCCTACAAATTAGTAAAAGAATTTTATACTGATATAGACTTTTCAAACGATACGCCTACAACGCCCACAGGCCTATACGACAAAAATTTTTATTCTAAAAACAGAAAAATCAGCCGCATCTACTCCTTATTATAGAATATGAATATTGAGTTCTTTTATTTTTTGTTCTTTTTTTTTGGGGGGGGGGGGG